GCGGGGAGGACGCTTCTGAAAACTTTATCGACTCGCTTATGTATATAGTGATTTGCTTATCTTTACGTATAAATATGTCACTTTCGCAATCGATGATAGAAAAAGAAGACGCTCTCTCTCTCTTTCATGTATGATGCGAATGGATCAATCGATTCTAATTACTCTGACGGACGAGAGAATTTCGTCGAAGAAAAGACATTCCCCACCGCTTTTCCCTTCACCAAATAATAATTCAGCAGTTTTATCTCGTAAATGATATAAAATGCAGATTCTACGAGTACGAACTGGAAAGATCCCGCTACATTTTTCCAGAATTAAAGTTACAGTTTTAAAAGCTCGGAAGACCCTGTTTTTTTTTAACTATAATTAACGATAATCACGCAACAAACGAGGGTCGAGAGATACGTGTGTATAATACCTACATAGTGAGATAAAAAACACATTTGACCCCTCTCTATTATGATAGTCGAGGGTCGACGTTTGTATACAGTCCGACATAATTGGCATCTTTCCTCGTAGAATTTCCTACAGTTAAAGCATTTGCATAACGATAGCGTGCCGGGAATATCTCTTCATCAAACTGATGAGCAGAGCCAGCCTGCGTGGGGCTGTGTATTATTATATACGCAAGTTGATAGATCGTCGGGCACGGACACGCTAGGGGTTTGTTCGTTTAATACCCATCCCCTACCCATACAACACGAGCACGAAGGAAGTGACTTTCCGCTTGATTCCAGCTTAAAACCGCCATGCGTTAATCTATCTTTACCTCTCGCCGCGTTAAAACGCCTCTGTGCGGACCCCACGGGTAAAAATCACGAGCGTTTCCACGGGAAAAGAGAAGGAAGGAGGGAGATATCGGCAATTTTTATCGCAATCTACGCAAGTTCACCGAGAATAAGTGGCAACGCATTATTGCGGGCGGGACGGCAGCACGCGGAAACGGAAAAGCAAAACCGAGCTGATTGCGAGCGGAGCAGCCAGTCGTGATTACCAAAGCGCAGTCTCTGCGATCGGTGCGGTTCGCGGTTGAGCGAAAGTGCTAAACGACCAATAAGGAAGTAATAGCAGTACACAGAAGGCAGCCGGAGAGCCGTGGCAGTGACGGCAACGGCGAGGGGGTCGAGCCGAAGAAGGGGTGGCTCCGCGCGCAATTACGGATTTTGAGTGACAGATGCTCGCCCAGTCGGCAGTCGGAAGATTAAAACAAGTAATCAAAGTCCCGGTAGCCACCCCGGGATGGATATGGATGGATGCACGCCTCCGGCCTCCCCTTTGCCCCCCCCCCTCCCTCTTCTCGTTTTCTCTCTCTCACTCTCTCTCTCTCTTCATCCTGCTGTTACCCCGCTGTTGCACCCCTCTTTCGACCCCCCTCGTTCACTCCTTCCTTGTCGCCGTGTCTCCTCGCTTCGAATCCCCGTACCCCGCGCGAATTCTCCTCCTTTACTCATCTTACTCCCTCTCGGAAGAGGCAAACCACCAAGGATAAGCCCCGCTACCATAATATCCACCTATAGCCGTCATCAAGGCGCGCTCTGAATGCTCCTTTAAGAAAATGTTCCTTTCGCGAGCAGTCGCGTAGGAAAGTTATTAGGCGTCTTGAAGAGGCGGGAGGGGGGGAGAGAGAGAGGGAAAGAGAGAGAGACAGCCGGGGATGGGTTATATTCAAACGACGCGAGTACACTCTACCCTACTTAAAGTGCTAAAAATACGTGCGATGTGTCGGTGATAGGGATTCTCTTCGAAGTTTACTCAAAGGAGAGACGAGGAACAAATGAAGACGAACCGTTATGCCACCGCAGCGATAATTACGATGTCGGATTCGAGCGAAGATAATGGCTCAAGTAAAAATTGGCGTAGCACTTGCCGCAGATCGCTCGGGGAGATGTCGTCGCAATTACGAGCCGAAACCTTATTGTTACACGCTCGGCTGTCCCACAATGGAAGTACCGTAAACCGAGGGCGATGGAACGAGAAATCCCTCGATTAGACTCGACGATACAATGCCGATATAATCTGACCACTTAATAGGCAAAATATAATGGTGAATCGAACGATTACGCTCGCGTAATTCTGTCACATGGCGGGAGCACAAAGCGAATGATTATTTCGAGGAAACGGACGACAATATTGCTCGTGATTGCGAACGACGATCGACATAAGCAATGTACAGTCAGTCACAGAAAGGTTGCAGCACTTCTTTCTCTACGAGTTTCGCAATATCGCATTCAATGGGAAAATATCTCTCCTGAGAATTGGAGAAAAAGGTAATATTATTATCGTTTTACATTTCGTGTAATAATTTTGTCAACGATCAATATTTTAAATTGAAAACTGAACGATTATATCTGTCAGGGGGTTGTTCGATCGATTTTAGACCCAAAGTTATGAAATATTTATTACACGGGACGTTATTTATAAAAATATAGTAGCACTGCATAATGAATTGAAAAAAAAAACAGGGATGTGGTCCCCAACTAAAATAGATTTAAAAAAATTGATTTTGTTCAAAATAACAGAGTTTTGCTACGAAATTATACATTCAAAATAAACTCTTAGAAGGAATAACAATGAATATAACCGTGAATTTTTAATGTAGATACTTATTTACTTGTCGGAAGAACAATAGTGCAATGCGGTGCAAAAGAGCAGCAGTGAACTATAGATTAAAATTGATTCATCGAATAACTACTTCAATATGAAAACCTCGAAAAAGAGGTCGTGTTACTAACACTCTTAAGGACCATCTACAGCGGAAATAATAATACTGCAGAATAGGAAGAGAGTTTTTTCAATGGAATAAAGCGTAACACCGAGAGTAAGCGAAATGGATCATTCCCATTTCTTATTCCTTATCGCCTTACTACCAATTCAATACTCTACTCCTTACTTAATACTGCTTATTTCCAATGTAGACGGTCCTTTAGAAAGCCACATTAACAAAATGTCATATTGCACTGTTTAACTTTGCATAACTCGAAATGTGTACAGTCGCACGAAATATTAAATAACGGACAAAACACTCAAATTACATATATCGTGTGATAATATGCTCAAGCTTAAAAAAAATGAGGAAGTATGTATAATTAATGCTGAAATGCACCTTTGAAACGTTGCGAAATTCATATTTGCGCCACTACGCAACGATGGATTCTCAATGATTCCATAAAAATTCGCCACCTAATAATAGGGATATTAATAGGGTTCATAACATCTATAAGGGCCATAATGGCGTCTTCTCCTCTAAAAACGAATCCTCCTATTGGATACGGGATGCGTTCCAAAACTTTCGAAGGAAAAGTGTTGCAACCTTTTTGCGACTAACCATACATAGAAGGCAGATTAAAGGATGTAACGTTCTCTTTCTCGAAAAATTTCGCAACGCATCTCTCATCCAATAGAAGAACGTATCTTTCCTGAGAATTATCAAAAAATAAATTCCCCTGTTGGGGGAATGCGAGATGCAGTGCGAAACTAATCGACAAAGAAAGAAGTATTATGCAATCTTTAATCCGCCGACTGTGTAGGTGTACACGTTCACGTGAACACCAACAGAAATCAATCATCGCCGCGTCGACATGTCTCGTGAGTTTCGCTGCTCATAGGACACGCTAATCACTCTTCGGCAAATTAACATCTTATTCCACACGAGCGTGTCTCTCAAAAGTAACATAGGAGCGGAGGCAAAGCATTCCCTTTTTTCAGCTCCCATTCTCGCCGATGTGTACTTTTCCACCTATTTTACGCTCCACAGCGATAATGAGGCCGCGCGCTGCGCGACATACGACGTACTTGTTGAAGCGCGGCGGTAACGCGCGAACACGGCAGTGATGCGAATGTGATTAGTCTGGAGATTTTCGCGCGAGCGGCGGGACGAAGGAGGCCAGGAGAACCAGGGTTGGATTTGACGGGGCGCGCGGGGTATCTACACGGGATGAGCCGTTTATCTCAGGCGTCGCTTTTCAGTTTTTCCCCCTCTCGATGTGCGACGCTCTCTCGCCGAGACTACGTCTCTGGTTACTTTATCCCTTACTCCTCCAGGATACTCCCGGTGCCCCGACCGTCGACGCGTATATCCTCCTCGCGAAATAATAAGCTCGCTCCGGTAAATTTATCATGAGGCCTCTTAGGAAGCAGCCTCCGTCGCAGCCGGCGCTTTCGCGACACGCACCCTACCTCGGTTCATCCGCCCCGCAGCGGTATTCTGTACGATATTAGCGGTATAATCCAAATTCTTGATAAGTGATCTCCGCATGCGACAACTGCGACGTCGATACGTTCGGAATATTTCCTCCCTTTCCGTTTTTAATGATTGACCCCTCGCATTGGAATCACGTCTCCCACTTAGACACTCTACTGTATTACAGAAAAAAAAGTGCTAGATTCAAGCAAATAATTATTTATTATATTTACGTGATCCCCGAGTAAAATATTTCCCAAGTAAACATTTACTAAGGAGTATCGGAGTAATTATTTACTTGAATCTAGCACTTTTTCCTGTGTACGTCAAGATAATGTAAAGATTGAATAAATATATATGCATATATATTTATTTATATACACAATCTTTACATTATCTTTACGTTTGCACATAATGTCTTACGTATGTAATTCATATTTAGATAAAATAGATCCAAAATCATCAAGCATGTCTCAGGCACTTTCGTTCTTTTTCTGTTCCATCTAAGCGTCAATAAACAGATGCATGTGTTCCGCATGAGATCAATTAAGTGCCAACGCAAGGGGTCGAAATACCGTTAACGCTCGATACAAATTACCGCTGCTATTTGCTGACGATATCGGAACAGTTCTCAATTTCGTCGTTCACTTCGCTCTGCGTTCTAATTATCTTACAGCAACCGCGCTCCAGACGAACATTCTCGTATTTCAGCTGTAACTTTAGCAACAACGCTAATTGCTCTTCATATTCTGTTACATTTCGACGTAAATCGTTCGACAATCGCCGCGACAATTTTTCAAATATTAATTGTGCGTATAAATACGTTGTATTATAAAAATATATTAAGGATTACATTCGATGTAGAAAACAATCCGACGTGAAACTTCTCACGGTTCTCTACCGCACAGAAAAAAGAATCAAATTAACCAACACGAGATTGCTCTTTCCTTTCGGCCATTCGCTCAGCATCCCGACTCTTAAGCTGCCTGTGTCACCGACACGCTCACGTGTCCTTTACAGTCCCCCGCTTAAACTCGCCATACATACATTCTCACAATAGCACAAATATATTATGCACATAAAAAGTATAACATTGACACGTCTTATAGATTTTACTAACTTTATATATAATAATTATATATATATATATATATATATATATATATAATCATAGGGCCGATATTTTTTATTGATTATATATAATCAATAAAAATATCGGTCCTATGATTTTATATTGTGTACTGCATCAGCTATATTATGTCGCATTACAAACTATCATTATGTACGGCTTAGATAAAATCGCTAAGTACACACGCTCAGTTAACCGATTCGAAGTACTCCTTGCTGCCCTTCGGATTCGGTTTGATGGTTTTGCTTTCCGGCTGCCAGTTTGCAGGGCATACCTCTCCGTGCTTCTCGACAAACTGGAAAGCTTTGATCAACCTCAACGTCTCCTCGACGCTTCTGCCCACTGGAAGATCATTGACGCTAAGCTGTCGAAGTACTCCCTCTTTGTCGATGATGAAGAGACCCCTGAGCGCGATTCCGGAGTCTTGCAGCAAGACATTGTACTTGGCTGATATCTCCTTGTTGAAGTCACTCAGCAGAGGATAACCCAAATCTCCTCCAAGACCACCTTGCTTCCTTGGTGTGTTGATCCATGCCAAGTGACTGAAATGCGAGTCTGTTGACACTCCAATCACCTGTGTATCGAGAGCTTCGAAGTCTTTGACCTTCTCACTAAATGCTATAATCTCTGTTGGACAGACAAACGTGCTGCAAACAAAGCATAGATACATCTCATATCACAGACATGCCGAAGGAATATCCTGTATGATAATTCAGAGAGAGATTACGTACAAATCTAACGGATAGAAAAACAGAACAACATATTTCCCCTTGTAGTCGCTTAACTTGATTTCTTTAAAGTCGCCCTTAACCACCGCAGTGCCGCAGAACTCTGGTGCAGGTTTTTGGATCTGTGGCCAATTGCCAAACAGTCTTGAAGTCGCTGTGAAATTACGAATGCATTCTGCCAGCACCGTATTGTTTGTCCTTACCAGTGAACTGGTTCCAGTGGCAACCTGTAAATATATATGCACATTGAAATCAGACAACATTACATTCTACGTTAACATATAACTTTTATGGAATAAAAATGACCACACATTTGTGCACACGATGAATCAGCAGAATATTTTCTTTCTATGAATATAATAGAATAATAAGGCTAAATAAAATGCTTACCAATTTTCTACCTTGTGGGCCCAATGACGTGAGTAATCGGAACATCGTAATTAACGAAAAATATTCGCAAGATTTGCTATACAATTGTTCGTGGAACGTGTTCAATCGTAGAACCGAGGAATGTAGATGCTAGATGAGTTTCGCCAACCACTCTCGTTGACGCACGAGTCGCGTGTGCAGACCCAACAGCCGGTAAGTTCAACGCACAATAAGACAGGTTATGAAACATTCGTCATACGCGTGAGGTGACGTTAAAAAATAATTTAAATGGTGAAATCGTATAAGTTTCATTGCATATTCTAAATGTTGCGATAAGCAATCAAATAAGCAAAAAAATACTCCGATATGACATAGAAATAAACATAAAATTGGTAAAACAAAGTTGGCAGCACTTACTCGAGCAAAATGAAAATTATGCTTCTGCCCATTGGAATTTATAAACCGTGATTTTCACTGTAGAACGTTATGTACTAACGCGTACGAATGTACTGTATATGTTATTAATTGATAACAAATAGTAAAACAGTTATAAATTTTATGAAAATTAAATTTACGAAATATCATAAGAAGTTTATATATAAGCTGTGCAAAGCAGTTAACATGGTCACATATTTATTCCAATAACAACAATATAAGGAGTCTTGTTTTCATTCTTATTGAGTAAATATATATACATATGAATTTAAATATATATATTTACGTTTTATGCAAAAATTCGCGCGCAAATATAATAATCACTATCAAAAATGTTTGACTATTCATTGCATTGTTTCTATCGCATTATGTATGTATGTATATATATATATATATATATATA